TTTTTTTTTTTTTTTTTTTTTTTTGGTTTTCTGATTGGTTGACTTTTTCTACCCTATCTTCTATTTCACTGATCCGGTCCTCAGCTTCCTCTACTCTGCTTTTTAGACCTTCCAATATGTGTTTCACTTCTGATATGTCATTCTTCATTTCTTCTTGGTGGTTTTTAATTTCCAAGTGTTTGATTTTCAACATTTCTATGTCTTTACTCATGGTGCTCATGTCCTTACACATGCTGTTGAGCTTCCTGAAGATCATGGCTCTGAATTCTAGTTCTGTTAACTTGCTTAACTGCACCTCATTTATCTCATCTTCGGTAGAGGTCTCTTGTTCTTTCATTTGGCTTTTGTTTCTGTTTTTCACCATTTTGGCCATCACAATGTGCTTTGGAGTCTGCCAAATTTTCCCTGTGGGTGTTGGTATTCTTCTGTTTGTGGTTCCCTCTCCTGGGTTTGGATGAGGCAGGGAGGATCCACTTTAAACACCACTGTCAAGTCTTACCTTTCCTGGTTAGAATTGCTAGCCCAGGGAATGGTAGTTATCCTCTAGCTTTTTTGCCTAGAGGGTATTAGTAGAGGTCACCTGAAGAACCTTAGTTTCTGAGTTGACTGAAAAACTCCCTCAGGTGCTCAGCTGAGGGTGGGGTAGATGCTGTTTGATAATGGGCCTCAATTAGCATTTGAATGGCCACCAGGTGGTGTTGAATCTCCAAGGGAGGGGCCGCCGCCTCTCCCAAGGGCCCTGGGAAGGAGTAAGTTGACCACAGTATTGTGTGGCTGCACTCAACAAAAGCTCTGAGCACCCTCCAAATCCCGAGTGTCCCCACACAGTTCCAGTCCAGTCTGCCTTCCCTCTGCCAGAGCCCAAGGTGAGTGGCTGCTGCCAATTTAGCCTCTGTCTGGACTCTGCGTTGTGGAGCCACCTGGGACTTTTAACCTGAGGGCACTGCTCCCAGCTAGGGGCAGCCGAGGCTGCGGCACCAGCCGAGGGGGTAGCACCCAGCGGAGTTTGCAGGACTCAGCGAGGGCGGAGCACCCATACGAGGCCACAGGACCCAGCCTTGGTTGCGGGACCCAGCCCCAGCCACAGCAGCTTCCAGCCGAGGCAGCGGGACCCAGCTGATTGTGTAGCACCAGGCGAGGTCGCAGGACCCAGCCAAGGCGGCCGCTGATCTCAGCCGAGGCCACAGGACCCAGCCGAGAGCGCACCTTCCAGCTGAGCCCCTCGTCATAGCCGAGTACACTGGTCCCAGCCCAAGCCGCTGTGGACCGTGGGTTCTCGTCCCCCTCGCGCATCCTCGCAAGCCTACCAGGATTGAGTCAGTGTCCCTGGTTATGTGGTCCTCCAGGCTGCCTTTCTGTTGTTCCTTCCTGACGATTTGTCTTTATTTTCATTGTAATTCCAATTTGGTCGTGGGAGATGGTCTGTGTAGCTTCCATTCACTCAGCCACCATTTTTTCCCCTCTGTTTACCTTGTTTTTGTTTCTATTCATTTAGTCATGCATTACATCTAGTGTTTCTCTAATTCGGCTATGTTTCAGGTACTAGAGGCCAAATTCATCAGTGTTACTTCCTTGATGGTTTAACCCCCCCTTTATGTAATAGTTTCCTCCATTGAACTCCAGTTGTTGTAGATAGATAAATGTTTAACTACATGGTACTATCTCAGCCTTTCTCAGCTAGGGTTATTTGTCAGAACCAAAGAAGACTAAAAATTATTTGAGTAACTATTTTCTTAATTTTCTCAAGAATATATAATTACTATCATTCTATTTGTGTAAGATAAAAGTGATTTCATTCCATACAAAGAATGCTTTAGGGTAGTGGTTCTTAAACTGTATTTTTGGACCCAGACCCTTTCAGAGGTCCCAAAGGTCAAAATTCTTTTCTTAATTAATTCCCATGCTTTCACAAGTGTATTTTGGAGTTTTCCAGAGACTACATGGTATATATTAAAATAGATTGAATGCAGAAGCAGATATGAGAATCTAGTTATCTCTTATTAAACACAACATTAAAGATATTTGCAAAGATGTGAAACAGTGCTATTTTGTCACATTCTGTTATTTTGGAAAATATAGTTTTCATTAAAATATATTATCTATGCTAACATGTAATGGGTTATTTTGTTTGTAATTAGTAAGTCAGTCTGTACTTTGTAGTTCCAATATCTACTAATTTCAGTTACCACAATTAAATAATACTAGTCTCACAACATGGTTCCTATTAGAATTCTATTGTATGTTAACTGTAAGGAATTGCATGAAATAAAATTTTGCTGCTAGCTCTCTGTTCCGTGGATCACTATATGAATAAAAAATACAAGTCACAATCAGTGACCTATCACATTACTTCTTTCAAAGTCTGTCTAGGACTGGTCACAAAGCACCTGTTTTTAGTTCATGCACAGAAATCGAAGCCTGTAGCTGTGTTTCATTCTTATCTCCTGGTGATAAACCCACATGTTTTATGAAAATGATTTATTGAGAGTGAATTGGCCAACAAAGATAAAAATATGTCAAAGAAATGGAGAGTGATAATGCTAGAATTGACATTTTAATCAGACACAAATGGAGTTATGGAAGAAATAGTTGATCGTGGGAATGTCAACACTGCTTCTGTTGAAGAGAATTTGGATATATAGCCAGAGAAACTTATTGAAGGCAAACATATAGATATGAATGAGTCAAGTGGTTGTGATAAAAGGATGAAGATGTCCCAGAAGAAATGACATTGGCAAACCACTTCACATTATAGGGCTTCTGAGAGATTTTCATAGCTTTGAAAGTGGAAAGGATAGAATATTAGAAACTGATTTAAATTTAGAAGGGAATATGACAATTTGCCAAAGAATAGAAAATACGCTCATTCCATATTTTAAGTTAAACAATGAGAAGAAGGCAAGCACTGTTCAAACTACCCTTTATTTTTTATTTTTTATTAGTTTCAAGTGTACAGCATAGTGTTCAAACTGCTCTTGATAAGTTTTTTTCAAAGGAGAAACTTTCTCTCCGGACCGCAGGCCGGCGCTCTAACCGCTGAGCCAAACTGGCCAGGGCGGAGAAACTTTCTCAATGTTTTAAATTCGTGTACTAAATGTTTTACTATTTTTTCATTTTGCTATACATCATAACTGGCAATGACAATGTTAAGGTTTTAACAAAAATTTGTAAAGATCACAATTATAATTCTTTCCATTAATTATTATAATCACTTCATAATTTCAGCTTGCATAGTCATTTCAAAGGTTTTTATTTCTTTATTTTTTGTTTTTAGAGAGAGAGGAAGGGAGAGGGAGAGAGAGATAGAGACATTGATGAGGGAGACCATCGATTGGCCTCCTCCTGCATGCCCCCCACTGGGTATTGGGCCCACAACCTGGTCATGTGCTTTGACCACGAATTGAACCCAGTGACCTCTGGGTGCATGGGTTGACACTTAACCACTGAGCCACACCAGCTGGGCTTGCATAGTCATTTTTATGGTTTGGCCCTACTGTGCAGATTGAGGGCTACCTGACTTTAAAATTATTCTCAGCTTAATTTCTAATATATATAATATGATTTCTAATATATATGCATATAAACAAATCTCTTTATATTTTTCTTTATACTTGTCTCCTATATTTTATGCCCTGATTAAAAAGCATCACACATGAACCTAAAACCTAGGAAATGGTGTGTATTCCTTTATCTCCCTCATAGTTTACATTTCTAATCATTCAACAACTCTCATAGTCATTTTCTTCTCTTTATTCCCCCAGATTGTCTTTACTTAGGCACTCATCTATCACTCTTTATAGGGTATGACTATAAAGGGACTGCATGGGGTGACAGAACTGTTCTGTATACTGACTTTGATGGTGGTAACACAAAGTATACATGTTAAAAAAATCATGAACTTTTTTTTTTTTTGTCTTAGCATGTAAATGTTTCTTTCAAAATAGGACTTACAAATAAATCAAGTACTGAATACAATGTTCATGGCATTGACCTGTGTACCAAGGGAGATATAAACATACAGAAGATACCTTTTTGCCCTGAAGGAATTTATATTTTAATAAGGTAAAGATAGCAGAAATAATAGCAATAAGATAAATTGTAGTTGTTTCTTTTTTTTTTTTATCCTCACCCGAGGACATTTTTCCATTTTTTGTACAGACAGAGTGGGAGGGAGAGAGAGGAAGAGAGAGAGTGAGAAACATCGATGTGAAAGGGACACATCGAGTGGCTGCCACCCGCTCGACCAACCAGGGCCGGGGACAAACTGCAACCAAGGTACATGCCCTTAGCGGGAACCGAACCCGGGTCTCTCCGGACCGCAGGCGGGCGCTCTAACCGCTGAGCCAAACCGGCCAGGGCAAATTGTAGTTGTTTCTTAAGGGAGATACAAACAGACTAGTTTGTACTAGGAATATGTAGGAGGATAATCCTTCACTGAAGAGATGGCATTTGAGTTGAGTCTTGGAAAATTGTTGATTTTTGGCAGTGAAAAATAGAGACAAAGAACATTCTGATGAGAAGGAAAAATATAGCACACTTTGCATATTTTTAAGTTTTCTTGTTTACAGTTTATAAAAACTTTGGACCTGTACATCATGAACACTCATCCAATTTTATTAAATTTTGTGCTTCAAAACTCAAAAGCATTTTGGTCTGACGCTCACATTTCTTACAAGAAGTAGTATGGCTTTGGAGTATTTTGGAGTTAATAATTTAGGTCATTTTTTTATTCTGATTTTAATGGCTGTAAGGACAGCAAGCTATTCCTAAGTCTTAGTATACAAATAGTAAATATATAAATTAAAAGCCTGATATTTCTGTAAAATTTTCTGTTGACGCAGTGAATTTGAATAGAGGGAGTTTTCAAAATATATAATCTTATAAAATATTTTTATAGTACTTTCCCAAATTACTTTCCTCCCATTTTTTCTACTTGGGTAAAAGAATCAACTCTGCTTAAAAATAATAATAATCTCCCCCCCCCCCCTTTTTTTTCATAGATTTTCTGTGAAGACCCTGATTGATCGGTCCTGCTTTGAGACAATTGATGATTCTTCTCCTGAATTTAACAATTTTGCAGCTATTTTGGAACAGATTCTAAGTCACCGGCTAAAAGGTAATAGCACTAGTATGTTATTTATCTCCCAAAGCTCTCTTTCTAATAAGCTTGAAATTTTAGAAATGATACAGTCTGATATGATTTTGATAGCAGCCATGCTGAATCATGAGAAACATAAAAGTGATTTTAGAATGCAAAATCCCTTGGCCTACTCTCCTGGAAGAGAATCTCTGTTCTCGGATTTATACTTATTTCCAGGATGGATTAAAAATATCGAGTGTATACTTTGAAACTTTTATTTATAGTCATAGTAAACTCTGATCTATTAGATTTTTTTATTAGAAAAAGAACATATATGCAACAAAACAAGTCAGTATAAGAATTTATAAGAAAAGGGTTAAGCCCTGGGCGGTTTGGCTCAGCAGTTAGAGTGTTGGCCTGCGGGTCCAGAGAGACCAGGGTTCGGTTCCCGCTAAGGGCCTGTACCTTGGTTGCAGTTTGTCCCTGGCCCTGGTTGGGTGGTACGGGTGGCGGCCACTTGTTGTGTACCTTTCATGTTGATATTTCTCTCTCTCTCTCCCTCTCTTGCTCTTACTCTGTCTGAACAAAAAATTGAGGAATGTCCTCAGGTGAGGATTAAAAACAAATAAAAAAAATAAAATAAAAAATAAATAAAACAAAGGGTCAAATACTATCCCAGCCTGTTAGCTCTCCACTACCAACTTCAGATCTTAATAGAATGTGTAACTTCCATAAATTTACTGTAGTAAAGATTATTTTAATACATTGTTTTGCTCTTCTTTTGTTGTAAAATATGTATAATGAATGTACAGAAAAGTACTTACAATATATGGGTTGATTATGGAAATAATTCCTATTCCCCTATACCCCCACTCTGAGATACTCTCACATGATCACAACCTTATCCCTTCCCCCAAGTAACCATTATCCTGATTTGGAAAATAATCATTTCCTTACCCTTGTGTGGTTCCAGAACTCCTTTTCCTGTATGGTTCCATAATGAAGTTGGGATATTTACATACATGTTCATGAATGAGATTGGCTTATAATTTTTTTCATTCTGTCTTTGTTGGGTTTTGATATCAAAGTTATGCATAAAATGAGTTGAGTGTTTCCTCTTTGTGTTTTGGATGAGTTTGTATAAGAAATAATCTGTTACTGGAAGTTTAGCAGAATTTTCTGGTAGAGCCTCTAGGGCTTTAAATTTTCTTTACAGGTATAATTTTTACTATCATTTAAAAATTACTTATTCAAGTTCTTTAATGTCATAAGACTATTCAGGTTTGAAAAATTATAATTTTATAAAAAATAGGTTGTTTATAAATTATGTTCTTTTAACCTATCAATTACCAACACAGTGGTGTATTAAAATCTCTTTCTGAGATTGTGAATTTCTCTATTTCTCGTTATAGGTCTGTAAATATTTTCTTTGTTTTTGAGACCATGTTCTTAAGCACACATAAATTTAACTGTATTAAGAATCTCTGATAAGCCATGAGCATGGTCCCATGGACTGGGAGGTCCTGGTTTGATTACTGGTCAGGACACATGCCTGTGTTGTGGGCTTGATCCCTCGTAGGGGGCATGCAACAGGCAGCTGATAGATGTTTCTCACTCATATTAATGTTTCTATCTCTTCTTTCCTCTCTCTCTAAAAAATCAATAAAAACACATTTAAAAAAAGATTCCCTGATAAATTGAAAAACTTTAATCATTGTAAAGTGACCCTTTTTTACTTTTTTTGGTATTAAAGTTTGTCTGCTCTTCACATAAATAAGTCAACATTTTGTGTGTTTAATACACAAAATAATGAGTGTATTAATTGCCACATGTAAGGAGCAGAGTCACTTTCTATAAGTAATTAAATTGTAAGAGCTTAAAATAAAAGGTAGCCTGTCTCTAAAGGTTACTAGATGATATTTCAATAAATTTACAAAGAAGAATCTAGGCAATACATTTGTTTGCTTAATCTCTACTTCATTAAACTTTAGAATCTTTGAAAATTATTTAGCAGTAAGTAGGCTAAAAAGAACTATGTAAAAGAGATGCTGCACTTGGTTTTCTTAAAATAAATCAGTAAATACATTTACATCAGAAACATAAATCTCAAAATTTAAAAGGGAAGATGGTTCTATATCTTTTCATAATTATAAAAAAATATATATTTTTGTTAATCTTCACTGAAGGATATTTTCTCCATTGATTTTTAGAGAGAGGGAAAGGGAGGAAGAGAGGGGAGAGGGGAGAGGGAGAGAGAGAGAGAGAGAGAGAGAGAACAATGTGAGTGAGAGAGACATTGATTAGTTGCCTCCCACATGCACCCGACTGGGCCAGGGATCAAACCTGCAACCCAGGTATGTGCCCTTGACCAAGAATCGAACCTGTCACCCTCTGGTACGAGGGCCAATGCTCTAAGCACTGAGCAATTCTGGCCAGGGCAGAATTATAAAATATTTTTAATTAAAAATATAGATCTATAAAATATAGCTGATAATATCAAGACATTATGTAGAATAAATTTTAGTAATAATAATTTATCACATTAATTTTGTAATCAAGTCTTCCTAAAGGAAACTTGATCATTAGATATTTTCACTTAAATTTTTATTATCTTTACAATCTTAATGGTATAGTTTCAAATCAGTAATCTGTTTTGGTAATATAATTTATGAGAATCTCAAATTTAATCCAAAGGTTAATTCCATTCTGTGTTTTTTGATGCTAAAAGCAACAAATTTTACTATGTCTTTATTAAATCACAGTTTAGCAGTCCTATGGGCTTATAAAAAAAGGGTTCAATTTAATTACAAGGGGAAACAAAATCTAAATTTAGTTAGCCCTTTGTAGTTTAAAATGGGGTCCATATAATAACTAATGCTTTTTCTGTTTAGAAGTTGGTTAATTTGCATTTAAAAATGGTTATCTTTTTCTCATGTTTGCTGTGCTGTGTTTCTTAAATTTTCTGCCATTAATATGTTACCTTTTATTAAAAAGTAAGGTTTTATAAAAGCAAAGGATATGAGAGTATTTTGAGATACTGCCATCATTTCTATATTGTATGGTGATTATCTTTTTATGTTTTATTTTTAAGTTTACAAATAATACCTGACTAAAATACACATAAATATAGTAGGGCTTGATGTTTCTAGTGTTCACATTTGTTTTTTTAATCAGAAGACCTTAGTTCCTGTGATACACCATTTAACATATGATTCACTCACAAAATAAATAAACAACCATCAACAGAATATAGGTAGGCCATGTTGAGCTATCCATGAGTGTTCTGATAGGCTCTCTGCCACATATATGGACTCCTTCTGCACACCTGCTTGCCATTTTCTGAATCATGCTTCAGCAAAATATAGGTCATAGACCCTTAGAATTATTTCTAATGGTGAATGTTATTTCTGAACTGCTATGTTGAAAGTAGAATCTCTGGTTGATTTATGGATAAGAATTCTACTGTTATGATCTAAGGCATTAAGAAAGATGATATGAGATGTGTATTAATTTTTTAAGATAGGTAAGATTAATAATTCAAAACTTAAAAAAATAATTTCCTGTAGGGTTGGGGGACAGGAGAGTGAGTGGAGGGATTGAGCAAAAAAGGAGAAAAAGGAGAGAAAACACTCCTGGACAAGGACAACACTGTGGTGATTAATGGGGGAAGAAGGGGAATGGGAGGAGGTGGAGGAGGTTATAGGGTGGGGGGATAAATGGTGATGGACAGAGACTGACTTGGGGTGGTGAACACACAGTACAATGTAAAGGTGATGTATTGTAGAATTGTGCACCTGAAACTTGTATAATTTTGTTAACCAGTGTCACCCCAATAAATTTAGTAAAAATAAATGCTTTGGATTAAGATTTATCAAAATAAATAAAAGAATATAAAAAAATAAAAACATTTTCTGTAGGTCAACTATTGTCATTGTTAATATAGATATGAATCATAAAATGATCTATTACTTTTAAGAGAATGTATTTTAAAGATTCAAGGGAGGAGGGTGTCAGTGGGGAAAAAGGGAGAAACAACTGTAACAAAAATAAATTAATAAAAAAAAATAAAATGCAAAAAAAAGATTCAAGTGTGTAGAAATTTCCATATATTATTTCCTATTTTTTAGCATTCTAATATGTAGCAAATTGCTCTTATTTATGGATAAATTACATGATTACTTTTGGAGAAGATAGTACACTGTGTTCACTTAAAATTTAGTTGTATAACAATAATTTTTCCAAGTACAAATTTAAGATATATAACTTGATGGGTTTGTAAGATTTACTTTTCTTCAGCTAGTTTTTATTTCTGAAAGCAAAGGGCACTTAGTTTAATTAATATTTTTTTCCCAAAGAAAGATAAAATCTAGGTACAATATAGGCTATGCTGACACAGATAAAGTGGAGAGCTGACATAGTTATCTGTTTCACCCTTAAAGCCCTATTATTGAAGGAAAGGAGGCTTTTAAAATGACATACAGTAATCTTGTTTGCAGTAATCTTGCAATAAGGTGATATTCTTACTTTTGTGGAATATAGTTGAGAACTAGGAATTAATCACAGAATATAGAATTCAAATAATTCAGGTAATCAGTTTGTTAATTTAAAAAAATTTCAATTATAGTTTACATTTTATATTCTGTATTAATTTCAGATGTACAGCATAGTGGTTAGACAATCATGTACTTTACAAAGTGTTCTCCCTGATATTTCCAGTACCTACCTGGCCTAATATATAGTTATTACAATATTACTGACTATATTTCTTGTGCTGTAATTTACATCTCTGTGACTCTTCTGTGGCAATCAATTTGTACTTCTTAATCCCTTCACTTTTTTCACCCAGTCCCCCAAAACTCCCTTCCCTCTGACAACCATCATCTGTTTACTATGTCTATGAGTCTGTTTCTGTTTTGTTTGTTTGTTTATTCTGTTCTTTAGATTCTACATATAAGTGAAATCATATGGCATTTTTCTTCTTCTGTCTGACTTATTTCACTAGCATAATACCCTGTAGGTCCATCTGTGCCGTCACA